TGTAAGGGTAGGTTTAGGGTTGGGGTAGGTGCAGACTTTAATAAACCATCATTTTACAGGTAGCATTTTCGTTGTCGAATTGTACTACCCTACTGTTTTAATGGGAGGTAACAAAATCTGACAGGGTAGCACTCAGCCGTTAGCAGTTCCCCACCGAACAGGACTCCAGCTCGGGCAGGAGAGCCAGCGCCGTTACAGTGGAAACGCAGTAACAGACTGGTCGATTACACCGGAAATACTTCTGATTAATTTGTACTTTTAATGTTTGTTAAACGAGTTTAAATAGGCAATATGTATACATAAATACGATAAACAATGCTGTAAATGATAAAGGCATAAATAAATTGCATAAGTTATCATGCAAACCAGTGGTTGTGTGGAGTATCTTACAAAAAAAGTTAATCTGTAAACATTATTTCATGTATAAAGTAAAAAATAAGCTATATTATAATAAAAATGTATCAACACATTTGCTGGGTTAAATCAACCCATTATGCTGGGTTAAATAAACAACCCAATTTGCTGGGTAAAATTAACCCCAGATGTGCTCTGTCCTATATTTACCCAGCCCTTGGGTTAAAAACAACCCAAATTGGGTTGTTTTTAACCCAGTGTTTTTTGGTTTGTATCTAATAGTTATTACTACAAAAACCTGGAATTTGTGCGTGAAATGGGAAGATCAGTCTACAAATAAATGCATTAAAATGATCAATGATGAGTTATGCTATTATATCAGGGTTCACTCGTGTGTTCTTTTCCTTTGAATTGATCTTTCATGATTTTCTCATTTTATGATTTACTGAAAATCAACCCTCTTTTACTTATATTTTAGACCTGAAGGGAGAAATCAAGGAAAGCGAAGAAATTCCTGAAGTGGAGGAGAAACATGATGTCAAATCCGTAATAAAGTCTTCGAGCCACTCACCGAAAAGAAAAGGCAAAAAATCTTTTACCTGCTTGCAGTGTGGAAAGCGTTTCTTATACAAACAAAGTCTGAAACATCACATGAGAATCCACACTGGAGAGAAGCCGTATACATGTGATCAATGCGGGAAGAGTTTCGCACAAAAAGGAGGCCTTAAATATCACATGAAAATCCACACTGGAGAGAAGCCGTACACGTGTGATCAGTGCGGGAAGAAATTCACACTTGCCGAAAGTCTTAAATTACATGTGCGTTCTCATTCTGGGCAGAGGCCATATACCTGTGATCAGTGTGGTAAAACGTTTATTAGGGTAGCATCCCTGAAGAGGCATCTGAAAGTTCATACAAAGGAGAAGCCTTATGTTTGTTCTCTGTGTGGAAAGAGTTTTAGTCAGATGGGCGCTTTAAATACGCACCAGATAAGACACAGCGGTGTGAAGAATCATTTGTGCTTTGATTGTGGAAAATCCTTTGTTAGAGATGCTGAACTGAAGCAGCACCAGAAAACTCACACTGGAGAAAAACCTTACAAGTGTTCACACTGTGACAAGAGTTTCAGTCAAATGGGACATCGGAAAATACATGAGAGGATCCACACTGGAGAGAAGCCGCACACGTGTGATCAGTGCGGGAAGAGTTTCACACATCCAAACACTCTTAGATTACATCTCCTTTCTCATTCTGGAGAAAGACGGTATAACTGCGATCAATGCGATAAAACTTTTGTTAAGGCAGTATGCCTGAAGGCCCACAGGAAAGTTCATTTAAAGGAGAAACCTTACAAGTGTTCACTGTGTCAAAGGGGTTTTACTCAACTAGGTGCTTTAAAATTACACCAGAAAAGACACAGCGGCGTGAAAGATTATGTGTGTTTTGAATGTGGAAAGACCTATATTACAAACGCTGAATTGAAACTGCACCAGAGAACTCACACTGGAGAAAAACCTTACAAGTGTTCACACTGTGACAGGAGATTCAGTTGGTTAGCATCTCTGAAAATACACGAGAGGAGCCACACTGGAGAGAAGCCGTATCACTGCTCTTCATGCGGGAAGAGCTTTAGTAAATTAGCTTCTCTACACAGTCATAAAAAAGGAAAATGTCCAATGGAAGAAAGCCTTCCTTCCATATCAATCTTTCCTAACCAGTTGCAATGAGTGTCTGGACAAAGAACCATGAACGTTTTCCCAGTGAACATGTGTAAGATTCAGATCAACAAAAAAGGCTATAGCATATTTAAGTGAGTCATGTGTCTGATATATAAATAATACAGATGTAAAAATTAGACTAGACCTTGTTCTTCATCCTTGTGCTTAGGTGCTTAGATCATCTTGTTCTTTTGCCACTCAAGTCTATTTACCAAATGCAGGTGCAAGATATACTGTTTTTCTACCATACTGCAGTATAATGCAATATGATGGCAGGATAATGGACAAAGTTCTGATGTCTTGCTGTAACTGTACACAACCGTCTACAAACATGGTTTTATAAAGCAATTTGTTTTAAATAAAAATGATTTAAGCTTCATATATTGCTCTGTTTTTAACAGATGGCTTAGGTACTAACATAATTATTGTAGACTACTAATTTAAGCAACAACAACGAGATAAGGCAACAAGACAGTGCTAAAGACATGCAGTAGATTTTAAATCTCGTCTATAGCGCACTCTGGTGACCGATTTATATAAATTCGTTGTAGTATGTCTGTAAGACGCTTGAATATAGGACTCGCTCAAATTTCAGGTACATTGGATTTGAGCAAAATGACAACCCTTACTGTACAGTTTTGTTAAACATTCTTTATTTTTTTATTTAGTTTGTATGTGTTTTTGTTACGTTTTTACAAACGGACGCCGTCTCGCGGTGATGACGTCATCGCGCAGTCCGCGCGAGTCTTCTGAAGTGAAATGAGGTTTGAGGTATATTTACACACACACACACACACAAGGATGTATTTTAGTTATATGATTAAAATTGGAATATGTATATTAGACGTTACTGTTAGACACTCCTTAATGAACCTGTGAGGAGCGGCGCGCGTCGTTTTGAGGCACAAAAATGAGTATCTTGCAAAGTCCCTTTTATAAACTCTTAATATATAGGTAAATATGACTATGACTCTGGAAACATGAAAATATTGCTTTTATTATCACTATTTTCTGCACATACAAAATAGTAACAAATTAAGTATCTAATTATTTTGCTGCTACGAATATAGTTAGAAGAAATTAGATTTAAACGGATATTATACTGCTGTGCCTATATATTTACTTATACTAAACTGTCAACTGGTCTGAAAATGGGTGTCATTTTTATGTTTTGATGTATTATTAATTGTTTATTCATCTCAGAGGGAAAAAAACACTGACTGTGGCAAACACTATGATCACCAGTTTTGATATACAAGATTTACATATCTTAACAGCATGTATTCTATTATAAAACATGTTATATGTAAAAACACCAAACTAAAAACCAATTACTGCTAAATGACAAGTTAAATTAAGTTGAATGCAATTAGTGTTATTTGTTGCTTACACATATGTACCTTTATTTCTGAATTTATTTATTATTCCTTTTTAACCTTACATAATAGTTGGATTATCCACCCAACAATTAACCAATAAATGCTGGAACATTCACATCAGTCTACAAGTGAAGAAGACGATGAGAACATCAGTGATCTAGAACCTTACAGAATGGAACACGAAGATACTGAAGAACAGAGAGGTTAGTGTTTAATCTTGATTCTTCGTTAACGATGCTGAAGACTTAATTCAAGCTGTTTTCATTTTAATCAATATGCATTGCTTTGAAACAAGGAACAGACAAAGTAGTACATGGAAAGCTGCAGGGACATACAATTAATTTATAAAAAATAAATCAAATTATTATATTATTGCATAGCAGTTGTCTACTTTCTGCTCTTAGACCAGATTAAACCTTTCGTACTTTTGTTTTGGAAGAGAATGGGGAGAGGGAAGAACTGAAGGAGAAACCTCTTCATTTCAAAACTGGAGACAAATCTTTAAGTCGCTCACAGACTAAAAGTAAATTTGTATTGAAAAAAAGAACCAAAAAATCTTTCACCTGCCCTCAGTGTGGAAAGAGTTTCACGTTAAAAGAAAGCCTTAGGTATCACATGAAAATCCACACTGGAGAAAAGCAGCGCACATGTGACCAGTGCGGGAAGCGTTTCACAAAAAAAGGAGCCCTTAAAGATCACATGAAAATCCATACAGGAGAGAAACCGCACACATGTGATCAATGTGGGATGAGTTTTAGACAAAAAGGATCTCTTAAGGAGCACATGACAATCCACACTGGAGAGAGGCCACACACCTGTGATCAGTGTGGAAAGAGTTTCAGAAAGTCATGCACCTTTAAAATACACCTGCGTCGTCATTCTGGAGAAAGACCATTTGCCTGTGATCAGTGCGCTAAACACTTTTTTAGGTCAGATGCGCTGAAGGAGCATCTGAAAGTTCATACAAAGGAGAAGCCTTTCTTGTGTTCTTTGTGTGGAAAGAGTTTTAGTCAGCCGGGTACTTTAAAATTACATCAGAAAAGACACAACGGTGTGAAGGATCATCTGTGCTTTGATTGTGGGAAGACTTTTGTTAGAGATGCTGATCTGAAAAAGCACCAGAGAATGCACAGCGAGGAAAAACCTTTCAAGTGTTCTCACTGTGACAAGAGATTCAAATGGTCAGATTATGTGAAAAAACATGAGAGGATCCACACTGGAGAGTAGCTGTTTAATCTGCCCTAAACAGTTGCAAGAAGTGACAACACAAAGAAACATCATCTGCAGTTCTCAGAGTGATCTTCAAGACCAGTGGTTTAAGTGTGAATGTCTAAGAATATCTTTATTATGATTTTTTTCCCTGATTTTTTTATCCATGTTATCCATGCATGTGTATCTCTCTTGGTTTGTTTTCTGCCATTTATGAAGGAAAGTAGTTTTTTTCTTTCTTTTTTACATGTAAATGTTCTGTGCTCATATCAGCAGAAAGAGAGCGTGCCATTCTCACTGTTATTGTTGTTAAAGTGTTTTAATAAAATAGTTTTCCTGCTATACAAAAAACAATCTGGTGTGTTTTTGATAAAGTACATTTTTGTCACAACCAACGCCGCCAGTCATTCTGATCTTGACAAAATGTTTGTTTAAGCAACATTTAAATAATGTTACTGAATGTCAAGTCCAAGTATGAATGTGAATGAAGTTCACATTCATACTTGGAGGAATGAAGGAATTAAATAAAGGTATAAATGATTTGATAAATGTAATTGTAATAAATTATTTTTATTGTATTATCTTTTTCTGTATTTATTTTTATATATATATTTTTTTACTTGTATTTACTTATTCTTTCATTATTTATTTAGTTACCACTTGTAGTACACTTCAACCCATCTTTCATACACTAGTACACTCAAGTGTACTACAAGTGGTAACCAATTATATTTTTTAAATACAGAGATAGTATGTTATTTTATTAATTTTATTATTTTATTTTATGCCCAGAATAGGACTGAGTGCGCGTTGCTGAGCACTAAACACATCATGTTTGTTTCGTTCATACTGGCAGCCAGATGGCACCCTGGTGCAGAAATCCCACATATGACAGAAGTAATAGAACTCATGGCGCTCCAGGAAATCCCTATTATGGACAAAGGCATTCAGCTATAGCTGTGACTGAATAAAAAGATTGAAATGCTTGAAATGAATAAAAATAAAGACAATAAACCCACGACTGCGACAATATATGGTTTATCTGTTCTCCAGGCCATCTTGGGTATTTTCATAATAATAAAGTAAATTTATAATCCATTGCTAATCGACAGCCTTTATTACAGCATAGAATAGCAGTTATTTCAAACTTTTGACTGATGTGGTGTAAAATCATGTTATTAAATGTACTCTTTTGTTGGACATTAGGTTTATAAACGCTTCGGATTCTCATTAAGTTTGGGGAGATGTTTGGCGTGTGTTGCTTTTTCAAATGCACATTGTAAGTGACTCTAACTCACAGCGCTTGCGGAGGTGAGCAGCATTTACTGACACTGCATGACATACAGCACCAATAGATGGCTGTGATGCACTGTTTTAGTATGTGATCTTGTAAGAAGATGCTGCGCTGCTTCAGTCCATTGCAGGTTCATAAAATAAAATGTAGCTATTGTCACGCTACTTGCTGGAAAAGTAGTTAACTACTGGGAAAGCTATACTGTTTTAAAAGTAGCTGAGCTACTGTCAAGCTACAGAACAATGCAGTTATTTTAGTAGCGTAACTAGCTATCTACTCCCCAACACTGTGTACATGTCATTTACACTTTCTTAATAAATGCGATTAAATGATTTAGGGACTAAATGAGGATTAAATGGTTTAGCAACAGCGGGAGCTTACGGAGAGAAAACTGGTGTTTATATGAGTTAAACGGATAGTGTAATTTGAATTGATTTCGTTTTTTTATTTGTTTTTGTTTTGTAAGAGTTTCATTCATTACTCACTCATACACAAATGTTTTATTCATATCATACTTTCAACATGTATCTAGAGTCGAATAATCTGTTTCTACTGCAAACACTTATAATAAAGTGAGATCTCAACTGATGATGCTGTAAGGCTTGTTTCAGGAGTATCTCTATTAAGAGCTGCTTAAAAGC